TTTCTTTCTTTCTTTCTTTCTTTCTTTCTTTCTTTCTTTCTTTCTTTCTTTTTAAAGAGACAGCATCTTGCTAGATTGCCTAAAATGCACTTGTACGCCTGGGCTCAAGTGATCCTCCTGCCTTAGCCTCCAGAGTAGCTAGGATTGTAGGCATGTGCCACTGCACCCAGCTAATTTGCTATTTTTTAAAGTACAAATGTGGACTTTTGCTTGGTTTACATTCTGAATATACCATCAAGTCTGAGGTTTGACTTTTTTAACTTATGAGCAAATAGCTGTATTGTATAAATATTTGTGAATGGGCTTATGTCGGAGGAAAACAAACAAACCAACATACCTAGCATGGAAGTAATCTGACACATCACATTTAATTATGTGCCTCAGTCTTGAGGGCAGAGATTAGACGGCATGCATTTTCACATCCTGAACCTTACAAAGTGTGTGCACAGTGCATGCCCTCAGGAAATGTATGTTGAAAGAATTGATTATGAAGCTTCATAGGCATAGTTTTGGTTAATTCTGTGTTTACTTTGCCAAACCAAGATTTTCTGAGAAGGATGAGGGGAGAGGAGAGAGCTAGGTGCCGTGAAAAGCCTTTTAAAGGAGGAACAGAAGTTGAAGAGCAAAGTGGGCCAGGGAGTCAGGAAACAAAAGGGTGATGTGTGGGGACAGCTGTGGTCTCTCTTTCCTTTCTGCCACCAGCAGGAGGCTGGGTCAATCCCCTCTTCAGTAAGGGCAGACACTGCTCCTATAATAGGGAACCCAGCACCGCAGAGCAAGCCAGAGTCTGCTGTGTGTAAAACCTCCAGTCCTATAGAATTCTAGCCCCAAGCCCCCATATCTCCCAAAAGTGGAAGGCCCAGTCACCTGGGTCTCTTGAGGTCAGGGCTTCAGGAACCAGGAAAGCCAAGCTTACAAGGAGAGGTCATTTATTTACACTGGGCAAGCAATGCATGATGCAAGAAGACACAGAGTAATCCGTCTGCCTTAGTGACCAAATAGATCCCTTTGCCTCATCCTCCTGTGGAAGCAATCAAGAAAGGGAGGTTGGGCGAGGTGACCTTCCAGAGCTGAATCTGTGCTTCTAAAAATAGAAGCATCCTTGGAGAACTGAGGAGGGGAGGGAGAGCTGTGGACACTGAGGGCAAGAACCTGAATCCTCAGAGCATTATCAGTAGGAAACTGTATTAATTAGACACAGGCACCTCAGCTCGATAACCTCAGGTATCTCTCAGAAATTGAAACGAAATGAAACGGCTTTTGTTCCCCCTCCTTTCTGGTTATACTCTCCCTGAGCTAAAAAGGAGAAAGAGAATTGTGTCTTCTGACCTATTTGAATGGCTGCACACTGCCTGATATATCTTCCCCAGTAGAGGGAAATGGGGGTCTTTAGAGGCACATTAAGAAAAGGAAAGAGCTGCCGCAAAGTGGAACTGTGAGAGGGAGGCACAAGGGCCACCTGGGAGTCTGGGTCTCTGTTCTCTCCCTGCATGGAGGCAGTACAGGACTAGGCAAGTACTTGGATGTGTCCAGGGCTCTAAATGTGTAGGCTCGCAGAGTGCCACTCTCAGGCTCACGCAGTGTCCTTATTTGGAGCTATGCGACAGGCTGTAAGTTTCCAGGGTCCAGTGGAGCCCTGTGCTGGTCTGCACAGATTGTGTGCAGCCAGGGTGTGTGCTGTGCTCTGTGGCATGGGGATTGCGTGTGGGAGGTTGGGGGTATGCAGGGGTATACAGGGATATGGTGGCAAGTTTGAGGGGGTTCTGTAGGGGAGTGTGTGGGGCAGTGTGGAAACCTGTTGAGAGGCTTCATGATGCTGCACAGGGCTGTGTGCAGAGCTATCCTGGACTGTGAGTGGCGCACCACAGTACTGCAGGGCACCTCTTTGTGTAGCTTTGACCTAGAGGCTCTGTGTGCATTGTAGTAGTGGTATGAATGGAGCCACATGGGGGACTCTGTGGAGGAGTCTCACAGCCTTAACAAGGCTGTGAGACTTCTGCACTGGAGGATATGTTCTGGGCTACCTGGACACATGAGTCTGTATAGGGCTGCCTGTGGCTGGATACATGGTGGCAGAGGCCTGAACAGGCTTACAGCTTTGCCATCCAAAGATAGATTATGCCTCCTTAGGGTGAGGTGCTCCCAAAGTGCAGGGATTTATTATTCTTCCTGAGACTGACATGAAGGGAAGAGATACCAGGGATTTACAAGCTGAGCAAAAGGGGCAGTGTGTTCCCTTTCAGTGCAGCCTGAAGCTGAGCCTCTTGCACACCAGTCTGGAGACACTTTCTAATACTTTAGTTTGTGCTTTCTCAACAGGACAACGTGGATCTGGGAGAGCTGATGTTTTCCCTGTGCTATCTTCCAACGGCTGGCAGGCTGACTATTACCATTATAAAAGCAAGGAATTTAAAGGCAATGGACATAACAGGAGCATCAGGTGGGGCATTTTCAAATTCAGACTTTCTCATGCACTTCTACTGTAGTAAGTACCTTATGAAGTTTTAGTAAGGTAATAAAGCACGTTGACTCTGGAACCAGACTGCCTAGGCTTAATCCTAGTCCTAACACCTGTGTGACCTTGAGCAAGTCATTTTACCTCTCTGATCTTTGGATTCCCATCGGTAAGATGAGAGTAATTATAGTATCTGGCTCACTGGGCTGTTGTAAAACTGAATTAATAAATATAAAGCCATGAGAACAGTGCTAGCATATATTAAGTGCTACATATTGTTAGTTATTGTTATTAATACAGCTAGCCTTCTGTATCCACCAGTTCCACATCTGTAGATTCAACCAATGATGGATTTAAAATACTCAGGAAAAAAAATACAACAATAAAAATAATACAGTTTTTTAAACAATACAGTATAACAACTATTTACACAGCATTTATACCAGATTAGGTATTGTAAGCAATCTAGAGATAATTTAAAGTATACAGGATAATGTGCGTAGGTTATATGCAAATATGATGCCATTTTATGTACGGGACTTGAACATCCTTGGATTTTCCTATCCGTGAAGGGTCCTGAAACCAATTCCTTGTGGATAACAAGGGACAATAGTACTCTCTTGGGTCTCCCTCACCATAATTTTGAATTGGACCTATTGTTTACACACATTGATAAAACTTATCTAATTGGGTCTTTCCTCAAATATCCTCATCCGAGGCTCATTGAAGGCTGAGAACAATCCTATTTCCTTATTAAAGTGAACTATGAATTTTAGTTTTTCCAGTAAACCAAGCATTAAATTCTGAACCCTAACAAGAAAAAAATGCCTCTATATGCATTGCTAACTGCAAATTCACAAGCAACCTCTGCAGGTGTTTCCCAAATGTGGTCACAAAACACCCAATACACCCTGACTTATATCCTCTGAAATCAAAGAACTCCATATGCAATATATTCTGCATCCTATACCCCAGTGTTTTTTTTAAAGCAGAAAAAAAAAAAAATAGCTGTGGTCCCTCTGGTCATCTAAGTCCCTACTGGACTGTATATAGGAGTCAGAGCAATGCATGGTTATGCAGATGAAAAGAGAGCAACGACTTCCCACCGAACAGAAGAAGAGTGAGATAGCTGTTAGGACCAGAAGAGCCCTATCTGGAGCAGAGGCCAGCCTTGCCACTTGTCACCCCATCACAGTGTTGCACCACAAGGAAGCCTGTGGCCTTTCTCTCCCTGATATGCTGAGCTGCTTCTCCCTTTGCAACCCAAGGGCAGGCCACTCTAGGGGCTCAAGGTCTCTGTACTTAAGGAATTCCACTCCCAGATGTTCTCTCTGTCCTCTAGGAATTCAGAAATTAAAAAAGTCTAGGAATTCCCTTTCTTAAAATCCTGAAAATATTCCCTGAGGTGGCTCAGAGTTGGGGGGCCTGTTTTCAGCCTTGGAAATGCCGGTGCATTTCTCTGCCTATCCTGGCCAGGCCAGTCTTGAGTTCTAGCTGGAATGTCTCCTAATTCCATAACAGATGTTTTCAAACTATTTTTAAATTTCACACATTTTCAGGAGACAGTATCCTGTGCTTTATCTTGAATGAGTGACTTAATTATCCTCACTCTAGTTGCTCCCCAGATATCATATTAATGACCATCCTCCAACTCCAGTCCACAGGCAGGTAAAGGAATTCTACATACCATAGTTCATGAAAACCCACAGTGATATAACTGCCCACCTAAATCTACACTAATCCTCACAGTACTCCTGCTTCTCATGGTCTGTCCAGATCCCTACGTGAAAGTCTCACTGATGTGTGATGGCAGACGACTGAAGAAGAGGAAAACATCCACCAAGAGGAATACCTTGAATCCTGTTTACAATGAAGCCATAGTCTTTGATGTCCCTCCCGAGAACATTGACCAAATCCACTTGTCCATAGCAGTCATGGACTATGACCGGTGAGATACCTGGAACTCTTTTCCAGTGCAAGTTCAGTGCGTCCAGGGCTGGGAGGACAGAGAGGGGGAGCAGCAGCCACAGATTCTTAGCTGGTGTTCCAGGCTGCAGGAAATGAGTCAACTAGCAGTGCATGGGAAGCACATTGACAGGAGTCACCTCTAAACCATGCTGTAGAGTCAGACTACCAAAGTGTCTCTCAGCACTCCCATTCTTTTCTGCCCCTTTCTCATTTTTTTCCTCTTCCTCCATCCTCCCCCAACCTCCACCTCTTCCCCTTTTCATCTTTGCATAACTCCTAGAATCTCAGCTTGAAGAACTGTGGCCCCACAGGTTTTATCTTCTGTCAGGCAGTCCTCACTGCCCTTCGTTGGAAAGATTCCACTGAAAATGGCAGAATGATTACTTTAGCCAGACCATCAACATTTCTAAATACACAACTTCAATCTTTTTCCTTCTCGCAAGTATTTAATAAAGATTGTTTCCTTCCACTTAAGTCTGAAAGCAAACACAAAAATGTTCTCCTGAAAATGCTAGAATCAGTATGGATGACAAGGTACATTAAAATGTATAAGATGCTCGACTTTTTAATTAATACAGCACAGAAGAGATATTTATAGCCTGCATTGTAGCCAATTGTGTATTTAAAGGACAGATTTGAAAAACAGTCATTTTAATATGCAAAGGAAGTACCAACAGGGAATTATACATGTTAAACCAGTCATTAGACTGAAATACAAAGTCTCTCTTTAATTGGAAACCTCCCACATGGTCTGGGCACATTATTTTAAAAAAATTATTCTGACTTCTAATATTATTTGTGACTAAAGATTTTCCCACATACCTCTGAAATATCAGGAAGGCAGCTTCAGTGACCTGCACACTCTTTCCAGCAGATGCCTGCGTGAAGCATGACAGTCTTCCAACCCAAGGAGCACGTGGATTGGCTCAGCTGCCCATGAGTGTGACAACCCATGCTGAGCAGTAGACCTTGTCCCATCTCCTGTGGGCAAGAAACAACACCAATAGTGTCAGGCCCCAGTAGGGGACATTGCCCACCAACCGTGGAAGCCTAGGCCAGCAATTTTTAAGCTATTGCCAAATTTCCTGCATGGACAAATCTGATTATGTGAGCTCTGCCTTAATTTAATTCTCAGTAAACTCATGAATCTGGCCTGGAAAAATTCATGGCAGAATTCATGGGGCTTCTGCATGCATTTGATTTTAATGAGCAGAGACTCAAATTTCCTTCACATGACCTCCCCACCCTCATCTTACCTTTATGCTCCATTACACAAATAGGAGAAAAAGCACTCGTCTTTGCAGGAGGGGAAAAAAAAGAGAAAGTATGTGAGTTTGGATCCTATAGAGTTAAAGAATTGGCCATATCAGTCCAGTTATACCAGGGACTTTTTAAAAAACTGCTAGGGAAAACAAAAATGGCTCAAGGCAGAGACCTACCTAGGGAAAGTTTCAGAAATATTAGCCTTGGCCGGGCACGGTGGCTCACACCTGTAATCCCAGCACTTTGGGAGGCCGAGGCGGGTGGATCATTTGAGGTTAGGAGTTCGAGACCAGCCTGGCCAACATGGTGAAACCCCGCCTCTACTAAAAAATGCAAAAATTGGCCAGGCATAGTGGCATGCACCTGTAATCCCAGCTACTTGGAAGCTGAGGCAGGAAAATTGCTTGAACCCGGGAGCTGGATGTTGCAGTGAGCCAAGATCATGCCACTGCACTCCAGCCTGGGCAACAGAGCAAGACTCTATTTCAAAAAAAAAAAGGAAATATTAGCCTCAAGGTCAAAGGAGCTATGTATCTTTCTATAGTTGGGAAACTAAGTGGGCCAAAGAGGCTGAACTTAGAAGAAAAGAGGGATGAGTATAAGACAATAACAGTCTTCTCTAAAGAGAGGGAGCAGGAAGATCTATGAGCTTCCTTCACTTACTCTACTTTGTGGGCTCAAGACCCATGGCTGCCAGACACAAAACTGCTCCCTCACCCATGCTTGGTTGCCTCTTGTGGGAGTTAGAGCAACCATTATTGCAAGAAACTCTTTTCAGATGGCTTCCTCTTTATTATGTGGAGGCCAGCCTAGATCCAGAACAAGAGGTGGCATCCTTAGCACAAATCATGGGGTTCTTCGAACAAGGTTCTTGGAAACAAGTTGACCCATGTCAGTGTTAGGACAGCCAAGGTATATGTTAGATCCCAAGTTCTATTGGCCGTGAAGCTTAGCCTGCACTTTTAAGTGAGGAAATGAAAAAAAAAAAAAAAAAAAAAAAAAAAAAAAAAACCACCATGTCCCCCATTCCTTCATCAGTTTAATTGAGTAGCTGTTGATCTTACATACCAAAATTTTAAGAAAAAACTATTGTGGGCCATTTTCACAGTGTAGGTCACAATGAGATCATCGGCGTGTGTCAAGTAGGCAACGAGGCTGAGAGGCTGGGCAGAGACCACTGGAGTGAAATGTTGTCATATCCTCGGAAGCCCATTGCACACTGGCATTCCCTGGTGGAGGTAAGACCCTAATCCACATGCTCCACTTTACATAAGAGTAAATGCTTTAGTGTTGACATGCAGGAGCTGCCAAACATGTGAGTGCACCAGGATGGATGTCATAGACAGGTTTTCCTGGTTACATTTCCTGGGGCTGCTGGGACTTGCATTCAATCTGAGGCTGAATCTGTGCTTCCCACCAGTCTGGTGGGTTTTGAATATTGATCAGAGATCATCCCTCATTTTGATTGTGTTTTTAAAAGATCAAGATTCTGTACTTCTGTGTTAAGGCTTTGGGTTGGTACTTGGAGGGCATCTGCAAGGTGTGGGTGAGTGTGGACTTTCAGGCCTTCATACAGTGACTTGAGACTGACTTTGGAAAAAACATGAGGCCTTGATTCTAAGACCAGCTCTGGCACCAACCTGTGATTCTGGGCAAGCTGGTTAGTATCAGGTTCAACTGCATATAATAAAAACCAAAACAACCAATTATAAATTAAAAACAAATGAAATGAGAATGTATGTCTCTCTCTTATATACAAAATGTCTAGAGGAAGGCACTCTGGGATATCTTAGCAGCTCCATGTTCGACAAGAGACCTAGACTTCTATCTTTCTGCCTCACTGTCCCAGGGTGGCTTTGTTCCCTGAAGTACCCTCATTATACGATATGGCTGCTAAGCTCCAACCACTGAATATTTTCTAGGCCGCAAAAATGTGCAAAAGGGGAAGAGCCGAAAGGGCACACATTCCCTTTTTAAGGATTCTCTTTGAATTCTCATGCAACACTGCTACTTACATTTAGTTTAGTCACAAAACTTAGTCACGTGGACATGTCAAATTGCAGGGAATAGTTAGAAGTGTAATCTTTCTGTTGGGTGTCAATGTGTCCAACTAAAAACTAGGGTTCTGTTTGCATAGAATAAGAGGAGAGTGAAAACCTGAAGGCAATTGGCCATCATTCTGCCACTCACATCGTCATTCATTCACTCCCTCCCCCTTTACTTCTCATTCACTCTTCCCCCACTTATTTTTGCTCATTGATTCACTCTTATTTATTCACTAACTCGTTCTCTCAAAAATAATTTGCACTCCCTAAGTAACATTTCTGAGGGTCAAATGCTGTAATAGCTACAGAGAATACAGATGAGAATAAGAAACAGTCCTTTCCCTTGTAGAACTTACAGACTGTAAAATAAACAAAAGATGACATGTAAACTAATCACTGAGAGACACAAATGTAAGCATTTCCATCCATATAAAGTGCTACAAAAGTACAAAGGAGAGAGACGTTTATTGTGCTTAGAGGAGACTGTGAAGCATCTCTCCTTCATGCTCTCAGTAAGTAAAGAGAACTGAGCCTCCGGGAATTGGCAAACCAGGAAGGCAGTAGCAGTTATTTACTGAGGACACATGGGTTCCAGGCAGAGAACTTTCCACTGTTCTCCTGGTGCAGGCAGCTCCATTCCATGCAAAGCCCATCTGAGAGGCCAAGACTGGAGCCTCACCCAGTGTGGGCCCCCCTGCCATTGATAGTCAGGTGAGTCTGGTTGAAGTGAACACAGGGCAGTTGTGGAGAGACAGAGAGGCCCCAAACCCAGACAGGGGAACCAAGGGACATCTTTGTTGGAGGTGGTGCAGGAAGGAGAAGAGCAAGACAGGGTTTATGGATTCTAACTATCAGGGCACCCAGATGTATTCAAGAAGAGCCTAAGGCCCCCTAATTTGCAGGTTCCTAAGGATAGTTCTGCCTCTGGGCCATAGGAGCAAAAATCATTCTTTTCTAGACTCAAAATTAATCCCTAAGGGAGACCCACAGGATCTATGAGCTACTTGAGAAGGAGCTGGGGACTGGTGTCCACTGAACTATACCTCACTACTTCAGCTCCTGGTGGAATTCTCAAAGGAGTCCATCTGCGGGCTCATTAAATTTTGGGGGCCTGTCACTAGCAGTGGTATTTAGAAGAGTTGTAATAGACTTTTTGCACCCTTATGAGCCATTGCTGATTTTAATTCTTATTTGTAATTAGTAGTATCAGAGAGTATTAAAGTTCTGTGCTTCTCAGGAAACAGGAAATGAGAAAGGAGTAAGGATGAGGCGTGTGGTGTAGGACTGAGAGATGAGCCCTGATTCGTGCACCAGCAGTTATTTTTGGTGACCTAGGCAGGGGAGTAGCCCTGGGCAGAGTGTTGCACACGGGCCCCTGAGTGGCAGTATATGCATGTGTTACACAAAGGAGAGTGCAGGGAGCAGGCCTTGGAGGCCTTTTCCTTCATGGCTGAGAAAAAGTGTGGTATAAATTCGTTCACCTGAGAGATATTCCTTAAACCCCAAACACTCAGCTTTTTGGAAATCTGTGCTCCACAGTTATGTAACTGAAAAGTAAATGCCATTAGGGTTAAACCACTGAAACTTAGAAGTCATTTGTTACAGCGGCTAAAATTACTTTGGCCAATACAATGGTCATTTCTCAACTGTTACAGCAGAACTAAGGAAATGAAATGCCTGCACGGCTTATATGAAGGACAAACCTTCATATAAGCAGAGGGAGGGCAAACCTTCATGTAAGCAGAGGCAGAGGGAAGCTGCCTCTTCCCTGTTGCTTCCTGTCTCTTTGAAATACACGTCCGGGACTCCAGATCCATCCTGAGAGAGGAAGTGATGCTTTTTCTTTTAAAAATGAACGTTGAGCTCGCAGAATTGGGGCAATGGTACCAGATGAGATGAAAAACAGTATTAGAGAGGTTGGTCATACTTCGTTAGCAGCTGTAAGGATGGAGGAGGCAATAGGCAGAGTGGCCAGAAACATTCACTTTGGAGTTGGAAGGACCTACATTCAAATTGCTGTCCTTCCACTCACTAGATGTTTGTTTTTCGCCTTCTGAACCTCAGTGTTCACATCTGTAAAGTGGCCATAACATTTCCTGTCTCACAAGAGGGATGGTGAGGATTAAACAATCTATTGATATGAAATGCAGCATTGTAGCTGATGTATATATAGTAAACAGTAAAGTTTTCAGTTACAGTTGTTATTATATATGCCCTAGATTCTGAGGCGCTGCTGTGTGTCCTTATGGGACTATGTCCTATGAAGAAATATCATCCATGTGTGTCATGGAGAATAAGAGAAAGGCCAGGAATCCACCACTCCTGCACCCCAGTGAGCCATCATCTCAGATTGGAGGAAGGGGTCATCCAGTACTTGGCTAAACACAGATGTACATATTTAAGTTTTGTTTCTTTTCCTCTTTTTCTTGGTCTTAAAGACAAGCTGCTGTTATGCTCTCTAAGAACCTTTTAAATGTCTGCTTTAAAACAAAAACCAACAATTAAATCTCAGTGCTCATGATAACAGAGTATGTGAGGGTGCACTCATGAGCATGTGTATATAGAAGACAGAGAGAGAGGGAGAGAGAACAAAGATGGGGGCACTGGGATTTAGCATGGAGGGAGGCTGGCCTCACAGAAGCTCTTCACTGCTGAGGAATTGGTTAGGTCTAAACTCTGCGCCCTGCAGAGATCTGGCAGCCTGCTCAAGGTTGTGTCCAATACACCCTGACCTTGCCAGGGCAGGTGGCAGATGGAATCTTCAAAGCCAGTGAGTTCAAAAATCCGTTTCTCTCACAGGGATTCTGGATGACTTCACTGCACACTCAAAGGTCAGCCAGTAGGGCTCCCTTTACTCCCCATGATGTCAAAGGTTTGGAAAGCTGTGAAAACTCCCCCGAGCAGACTGCCTGGGATTTAGGGATCAGAGCACCCCCTTCATAGGGCCTCAGATGACAGAGCTCTAAGAGCTCCCTTCGCTCGGCACCCTTGTCCACCAATTCAAGAGAAGATGGTGTTGGCCTGGCCATATCACAACACCTTTCCTACCCTCCTGTATGTCAAGATGATCAACATCATGAGCCTCATGGAGAATAACAGGACATAGTTCCAAGTTTTCATCGCTTCCCTGTGTAGTGCCATGTAACATCTGTTGTATGAATAAGTACTAATCTTGGTTTGGTGGGAAGAACAGACACATATACTATCTGGTTAAATGAAATTTCACTTTTCTAAAAGACAGAAGAAAGAGAATCCAACCAGAATATATAGTCAAGATCAGCAATATTATCCTAATAGGCATAGGTGTAAGATTCCAAACACCAAAGTTCTATTCAAGGTGTGGCCCATTTTGGATGTCTTCCTCACTCCAAGCTCAGCCTTTGTACATACACATACATACAGCTACAAAATTCTGCATGTCTGACTGTCTGCTGGGACCAGCTCATTGAGAGTCCTGGCCCTCTTCAACTCAGGACTACATAATGCCAAGCATAACCAGAGGGCAGTTATGGTACAATATGCCCAGACATAAACAGAGCCCTCATTTATCACCCTCAGCATCCAGAAGGGTATAAACGTAGAGTCAAAGGACTACAGCAACTGTCAGTTTTACCCAGACTTGTCTTGGAGTTACACAAGTAGCCCCTGTAAACCATGTCTAGATATTATCTATCAATTGTCCAGCAGGGCCTATCTGGAGTCTTGGAGGTCCACATATTCCCAGGAGAATGTATCTGATTGCCCAAGATTTGATTAGGTGTCCATCCTGGTGCAATTTGCTGCAGGTCTGGAGTCATGAAAATGTGACCTGGTACCCACCTCAGCAGGAGTTTTGGGAGTAGACTTCTTGAGAAGAGTCCTCACAGGACAGGGAAATTGTCTAAAATGAATGTGAATGACTGCTTCCCAAAGGAATTTAAAGTGAGAGGCTTTAGCACTATGGCCAAATTGTTATTCACAACAGATTTAGGAAAGGAGTAACTCACCAGGAAAGATGGGAGTGGGGAGAGGATGGGGTGACTGGGAAAAGTCACGTAGGAAATCAGGCTCCCATCAAGGGGATTTGGTTGTGTTGCAGGGCTTGGGTCTTGTGGAGAACCAGACTAGCAGGGAAGAAGACTGAGACGTGAAAAAAAGAAAAGCATGGACTGAAACATACAATGGAGAAAGTCCTAGAAAGTGCTGCTACTCAG